GTGCTACATGAAGGCATGGGATTACATTGAAAGCACGGAAGCACAGGTTTGGAGGATGGCGCTATTATGAGAACAAAATTCGCAAAACAGAGAAAAGTTAAAGGATAAAGTTCCTGAATTACTTTTAATACTCGTCTTCAGGTAATGACATAGCACATCTGGGTATCTACAAAACTGGTGGCCGATCATTCAAGTGGAATGGCAGAAACTCACCACATTGAACAAGCGTAATTCAAGTGGAAACAGCACCCGATAAGAGAGTTTCGTGTAGCGACTCAATTGATCCATATATTTGAACCTAAAAGGGGAAACTCTATAAGTTATCGATCAGAGCTATGAAGAAAACAGTAACAAACCTTTTCAAGTGTAGAGCAAGCATATGCGGTAACCGCTTGATACGCATTCGTTTTTGGGCCTCCTGTTTCGATGAACATGTTTCACAAAAGTACTTCTGAATTAGGCACTTTATGATCACGAAAAAAGTTCTAACTGTAAAGGTGAGTCATAGGTCGGAAAAAAGATGGCTCAACTGCTTTTCGTAGTACGGTATAGTTGCTGGAAGGAGGGAAAGCGCGCCTGCCGCTGTGGAAAAAGCTTTCAGTAATTGGCTTTTCTCGACTTTTTCCTTCGACGGGCGCTATACCCTCCTCTATGTTCGAGGAAGTTTTTCTTTTCGAAAAAAAAAACTGGAGAGTATGGTGAGATGATAGGTGGGGTGGGGAAGGAGGGGGAAGTCGTAGTCGTACCAGAGAAGAGTACTTCTGAGGTTGGTTCGAATTTTAAACCCCCCCCCCAATAAGGGGCGTACCCTGATTTGAAAGTCAAGTGATTTTGCATTAGTCCTACATAGAAAATCAAATAGAAGAGAACTGTATTTGAAATCTTACCTGGTCACCACATAACGTTTCCGTTTCGCTGAAGACTCGCAAGCAGTGTGTGATGGAAGCATTTTGATCTATATCTACTGACAAGTCGAGGAAATCTTCATCCTTACTTGACACCTAAACACTTAGTGAAATAGAAAGGAAGCCAGGTCAATTAAAAATCCATGCCCACCTCTTACAATAAGAAAGAAAGATGTTGTCCCTCAAAAACCAGGTCCTAGAATTTTTGAATGTTTGGCACTATTACGCTTTACTGCTCCACCCTTTGAAATTCAGGCCAGATTTTGATCGAAGTTCTGAATTGTCGCCGTGGATAGAATTCGCTGGAATTGCGCTCTTTGCAGTACTTTGACCACCATCCTTCTATAAGCGCATCACATCCGCTCGGCTGGAAAGTGCTTGGTGCCGCGTCATACACGTCTCCGGCACAAAAACATTAAAAAGCACTTGTCACAGAAGGTCATTCGGAGCAAGTGGGCGTCGCGTGCGACGTCGCGCCCGCTAATGACGACAATTTTAGGTGGTATTGGTCGAGAACAGACAATGTATGACCAAAAATAGACATAAGTCTACCATGTCCTTGTCTCACGAAATCCGACACTCCAATCGAAAGGGTAGTGCAAAGTGAAGAAGCCTCGCGTCCACTGCCGCGCGCGACGAAGCGGCGATTTACGATTCTCTTGCCTGTCTCCCGATTTCGCCGGTGCCAAAACTGGTCCACGACTCCTGGATAGAAGCGCCTAGCGCTCTTCTCGAAGCGGATGCAGCAGTCGATATCGGTAGAGCAAAATCTAGTGCTGGGAAATCTCGACCAAGTTACGGCCTGAGATTTCCATAAGGCAGTAAAGGGTATAATGTGCCAAATGTTCTTAAAGACAGCTCCCGTGATAAAGGTGTCATGGATAGTTAACGTTCAAGCATGAAACAGTAGCTGATAATGTAATTCCCCAAAGAAGAAAAAAAAAGCAAGAAGAGCCCTCAAGAACATCATCACCCCATATAAATAATTCGCTTTCGTCTGTTTGTTGTAAGTTTGCTTTTCTGCTCCGAAATCGTTCGACCTGAAGAACGACTTGGAGAGGTCGGGTCAAGGTGGGGATGGGTAGAGCATGGGGCAAGAAATAAAAAGCACACTTGATCCTATGCGAAGCCCCGCCCACAGTGGGCGAGCTTGCCCAGGATACTCATTTTTAAAGTTTTGAAGCTCAGTTCCAGAACTCTAAGAAAACCAAAAGATGCTGCAAAATTAGTCGGACATGATAGCGCGGCCAAAAAGTGACTAAGGTCAGCAGAAGGGATCGCGATGAGGATTGTGGGGCCCATAAAACACTGTGGCGGGCCTGTCGAGGTGGGGAGTCCAGACGAAAAAAATCTCGTAAAAAGTTTCAGAGCACTTCAGAACAGCGGAAAAATTGATTAAGTCGCAGACGGTCGCCGGTTTAAGGATTGTGGGGCACGAACATTGTGGGGATTCACCCCGAGTGGAAGGATCAGACAAAAATCTGCCAAAAACGGTTCCAGAGGCAGTCCGAGACACGCGCCGCAACACGGTTAAAGCAGAGATGTGCAGGACCTCAACTGTTGGAATGATAGAGCAAAGTTGAGTGGTCTGTGGTGTGTTGTGACCCAGCTTATATGGTGGGCGGGGCCGCAGAACGGGTACTTATTCTACTGGAGTTTTAGGCGTAATCTCTGCCATACTTCTTAAACGACCAGGCTTTGCTAGGTATTAATTCCGCAGGCCGAGGCGGTGCGCAGTTCTCTTCCTCGTCCTTGATAGCGGCCAATTGTGCCGAACGGGCACGCTTGTCACAAAGCATTCTTCGCTCCTGCTGGTGCTCCATATCGACGCGGCACTTTAGTTACGGCACTTCCATACCCAGGTGTTAGTCAAAATAGCAGGGATGATGTGTTTGTCGTGGAGCTTTAATCATGAGTACAGAACAAAAGCCTGATATCAGTTGAGTCTAGAAATATGAGAAAACAGGTACGCGGCGGCGAAGTAGCGGCCGCCCGGCGAGTGGCCGTATCAAAGAGGCGCTGGCGTCCAGCCGCGAGCGACAAATAGATGGTCGACTGTGCATAAAACTAAATCGGCTCTAACAGTCCCACCGGCCTGCGAGTCTGCGGTGCAGCCAGGCTGCAGTTGGCTGCATGTGCTCCTAATAAATAAAACGTAATAAAGGAGAGTAGAATTATTTATGGGCAAGAGTGCGGTTAGCAAAAATGACATGCAATTCCGATTAATGCCCGCCGCCCCAACAAAGAACAACTGAGACTAGGCTTTCAGCGGTTGTAGCTCGCTCCTCGCTCACTGTGGAGTCGCGAGAGTGGGACAGTCTCTAGCTTGGGGCTGGACTACTTGCACAAGGAAGGACGACCATGTACTACTTGAGCGCGGACTGTCTTTAAAATCAAATTCCTTCATTCAGAAACATTCTCGAAAAATAAATGCCTACCGTTTCGCAGCATAAACAGCGTGTTTCATTCGTGAGTGTGCCTTGAAAGATTTCATGTATCCAGGTTTTATCCACTTTCGTGGAAGGTCTGAAATCTCATGAATATCAAGAATTTTAACCCAGAATAACCCAGAATAGATATAATGAACAATAAATTCACAGTAGGGGCCTGGATCATGAACAGAACAACTCACCCGCTGGTTTCGTCACGCCCTCTGTCGGTATTCAACGTTCCTTTACGAAGGGTTCCATTCCTCAGTAAACGATCACGCTCCGCATTCTTCTCCTCGATCAATGTCTCAGATACCGTGTTCAGCAGATAGTTTAAAAACTCGTGAGCATCTTGTTGCATATAATTGTCAAATAACTCTGTAATAGTCACTCCAGAAAGTATCAACTGGAAAATATAGTATATGTCCCTACCGTTTTCCTTTTTCAATTTAGTGATAAATCGCTTCGGGGCAATGGTACCTACGCGACGTTTTTGCGTAGCAATATTGTGGAACAAATCAGCAAGGCATGTGGCTAAGTTCTCTTTCTGGCTTCCTGAAATGTTCCAAGCTCTCAATAAGCTAAACTACGCAAAACTTTTAATGAGCTCAAAACTATAACATGTTCGCGGCGACGCCATTTCGCCAAGAATACCCGTTTATAGCTGGGCGGTTCCCGGCGGACGATAAAGCCAGAATCCTTCGTTTGTCGTTTCCGGCAGAATCCCCGCGCTTCGTTTTCTTTTTCTTGACATTTCTATTGCATTTTTCTCTTCAGGCAAGTCTTCATGCAACCAAGGTATACAAAGAAGGTTTTGAGTTTTTATGAGGTTGATTGGAATAGGAGGGGAAGATTCTTACTAGAAACTAGATTTATATAACAATAGTACACACAGAAATAACACTACAAACATGTTTTCAATGTTCTCTCGTGATTTTTCTCCCATTTTACTTGGAATTTTATCTTTTTGAACTTTTGAAAGAAGTTTATCTGATGAGGAAGCTGATTTGGGTGACCACGTCATCCAAGTAACTTCCTCATCAAAATCTACTTTTCTGCAGAAAAAAAAACAGAAAATATTGGTGGTGTTACTACTGTATTACTTTGCATCACTATTGTTACATGGAGTCCAGTAAAAATAAAAAAAAACTACACATTGTCAAAAAGGAGGGTGTTCCCAGGAGCTCACGAGTGGACGAAAAAGAAGTTATTGCCTGTATACCCGTGAGTACTGACTTCTTGGAATGTGTTAGTTATCTCTGCATCGCTTGCACTACAATTTGTATCTAACTATTGGGGAAAAAGCGAAAAAAATCACAAGAGTAATCGAATGCGCCATTCGATTGGTGTACTCCTGGAAGCACGCCACCTCGACGTGTGAATTACTGTTTATTTCAGTTATGGCGAGGCGAGAACAAAAACAGTGTGATCATCCAAAAATGTGATGGCCCAGGGCCAGATTAATGCGATTATTTCAAAAAAGGAAAGATTATTGGAAATGACCCACCTGATTTCTTCAACTGCTGCTTATACTGCAGAATTTTTTCACGAAACGGTCGACAAAAGTACAAAGCTTGTATGACGGAATTGCAGTAGCAAGTGTTCCCGAACTAAACCAAAAACTAAATCAAACAGTGGGAGCTCTGAAAGGAATTTTGACAGGGAAAAAAAGTTCCAGAGAATCGCATACAAGTCATAATAGTTGAAATATATGAATATCGCATGTCCTACATCCCAAAAATTATTTGGAATTCACTGCTGTTTAAGGCCGCAGTTCGATTCTCAAAGCCAGTAACTCCCAGTCAGAGCTGCTGATTTTACTATCTTATGTCGCTACTATTCCAATGACCAGGTCGTCTGCTGTTCTTTAGGAAAATTGTTTTTGAAGCTCTATTTTTGGATGGGAAAAAATTTCTCCTTAGCCTGCTTTGAATTCCCGGGGGGATGATGCCCGGAAGGTAGGGAATATTTGAGATGCCCGCCACTGGTAATAGAGTAAGTGTGTGAAAGTGCGGAAAAATCGACCAAAAAGTTGTCGCTGAGAAGATCGTGTAAAATTACAGATCTAAAGGAATAGGTGTGGAATTAAGAGGTCAGGCCGACACTTTTCCTTACTAGGCTCTGGTAATTTTAGACTAGACAGAGCGACTAGTAGGGATTCTTCCAGAAATTTTCTTTTTTCGCTTCCCCTTAGTTCTTCGTGGCCTAAATAACAAAATTACTCTTAATCAGGTAATCTAGGATCGCGCGATCGTGAAGCCTGAACGCGCTCTTACGCAACTGTTTTGCAAAAGGTGAAAAATACGACGAACAGGGTGAAAACTGGATTAATCATCATGTTAAGAAAAGCCCAACATAGATCAACACGCAGCAAGCTATTATGGAAGTTCCAACAGGAGGAAAAAAGTAAAGTGCCTGATTTGTGAACGTTTTTTCTTGAAAAAAATGCCAGATGCTGGGGACGAAGCTTTGATGCAGAATCATCCAAGAAAAGAATGGCAAGAGTTCCACTTGGCCTGAATAGCCCAGTTACCATGATTTTAGGGAGCGTTCGTAGCTTGCGATCACGTCGCCGTAGGTCGCCTTCAATTCATACCTTGTGAGAGTGTAGGATTGATTAATTGAAGAAATGCAGGTATGAAGAACTGACGAAAAGAACTAGATATGTATCGATCTATTTCCGGAAGTCGTAAACGTATGTTTAAACTATAAATATCTAATTCTTTTCGTCAATACTGCCTTCATTGCTGCAAGGTAAGAAGGCGGCCTTAGTGGGCGTTTTTGACGTCGGATCAATACATCTAATCATATGAGCGTAGTCGTCGATTATGTTGCATCGTCGGATCGTAGGTACGTATCTTACCTACGCAGCCGATACGCACAGCATCGTGATGGGTAAAATGGGGAGCGTGGAAAGGTTTCCAGTCAGTTAAGATTATCCAGGCTATTTTCAGTGTGAAAGGGAATTTGACTTTATTAGGGTGTCCGGAAAGTTTTGAGAAATTTCAACCAGCTCATTTAACACTTATCAACAACAATAAGAGATAGTAGTTCATAGTTATAATAAATATTGTCCATCCTATGTCCCTTACCTTTTGGGCGGGATTACCTTGCGTGGGAGCTAGAACTAAGCGAGTACTGAGAATGAGGGGCGTACGCAACATCTAAGCTAAACTTCCATGGAAGAGACCGATTGATCTCCTAGTATAGATAATTTTGAAGAGCGTTTTATCCAGCATCGGAGACGGTTCCTCATTCCCGATTTCACCGACAGAAGAGCCAGAATGGTAAAGATGAAGTAAAAGGTGTTTGGAGTCGTGCGCGCTCGCACATTTTTCAGGTAATTCAAATCATCCCAACACTGGAGAATAATACCAACCAGCTCTATTTTGATCTACAAATATTTCTCTTTCTCATAGCACTTGATATTATGACATTTTGCTGGGGCATTCGTCTGCTACAATTCTTCAAATAAAAGTGCGAAATTTTTCTCGAAGCCTTTTTTTCAAAATAAAAGTTCAACATCAATAAGTTGATATAAGACTTTGTTCATCCTTTGAAATGCAACGATTTATAAGACCTGTTGAGCAGAACGATACTAAAAGAACAGATTAACTTCATTAGAAACTTTTACTGCCCTTATGCGAGATATGCCACTTCCTGGCTGATGATGACATGACCTATCGGGAGATCAGCACGCCTCCCGTAAAATGGCAGTCTACGTACGACCCTCTCCTCAAGGTTCCTAGGCTCCAGTACAAACCCCTTTCCATCAAACCCACCAACTCACCGAATTCTTCCCACTCTCTTCCATTTTACGAGATTCTACAAGCTCTCCCGAAAAAAACTCCGAAAGACACCATTTCCGGGAACAGGGGTACAGCTCACGTGAAACGAAAAAATCAATAACCGAAAACCCCTCACTACCATTAACCCACATTCCAACGATGCTGTACCCTGGCGTCATAAGCGTACGGTATGAAGGCGAATTATGCCGTTCATGCACGCTTACTTTCGGCTGCGAGCTAATTTACGAAGTGCCTAGATCATTAAATCCGCTGAAAACTTGTGTACAGGGATAATTTACCATCCTTGTTAAGAAGACGACATTCAGTACCTAGCGCTGATGCTAATGAAGGCACCATGATTATCTGCACTCTGTTGAGGCTGAACCCAAAAGATAATCGTTGTGCTCCATTAGGGCCACCACCGAGAATGAATGTCATTTCCGAAATCATGATGTTTATTAGGTTGTCCGGAAAGTTCTCAGCGTTTTGTGCACCTATTTTTTGTACATTCACTGCTGATTAAAAACTCATTCTGCCTTGCTTCTCAGTAGCACATCCTGTAGAGAATTTCTTGCGCTATCTGATGGTATAATTGCCGTTTCACCATTGCTTGATAAACCCCCTTTTTCAAGATTTTTTCAAGCATGTGAAAAGAGCACTTCGGACGATTTTTTTCTTCGACTATAAATTGGGGCAATCCGCAATCGAAACAGCTCAACAAATTAACCAGGTGTGGGGGGGGGGCCCAATAGTGCTAGAGAAAGCACTGTGCGGCAATGGCTCAACAATTTCGTTCTGGAGATTTCAGCCTTGAAGATGAACCTCATAGCGGTCGACCTAAAGCAATATCTGACGAGGATTTTAGGGGGATTTTGGAGGCTGACCCATCCCAAACAGTTCGAGAGATAGCAGAAGAGCTAGGCCTTGGCAAATCCACTGTTGCAGATGGTCTGGAACGCATTGGGAAGGTGAAAAAACTCGACAATTGGGTGCCCCACAATCGGAGTGACCGGCAGGAATCGGCACGTCTCGAGGTTCCTTCTGCATTGCTTTTGCGCAGCAGAAACGACCTGTTTTTGGCCGAATTGTCACCTGTGATGAAAAATGGGTCATGTATGATAACAGGAGACGTTCCGGACAGTGGTTGGATTTCGACGAACCACCGAGGTAATTTTCAAAGCCGAACCCTCACGAAAAGATTCTGGTCACGGTTTGGTGGTCATCGGCTGGTGTGATCCACTATAACTTTTTATCACCAGGCCAAACCATCACAGCAGAACCTACTGTGAAGGAATCGACGAAATGTACCGAAAATTTTGTCAGCTGCAGCCAACACTTATCAAAAGAAGGGTCCGATTCTTTTGCATGACAACGCCCGCCCACACGTTTCACAAATCACTATCCATAAATTGAACGAATTGGGGGTTGAAGTTCTACCTCACCCACCATATTCTCCAGACCTTTCACCAACCGACTATCACCTTTTCAAACATTTTCAGAACTTCCTTGCTGGAAAATCATCAATCAGGACCAGGCAAAAAGCCTTAGTGGATTTCGTGAATTTTCGACCACCCAGTTTTTTACTTTGATGGGATTTCTCGACTGCTGTCACATTGGCAAAAGTGTGCTGATTCGAATGGTGCCTATTTCGATTAAATCCGATGAGTATTAAAAAAGTTACGATCGTTTAAAGTGAAACACCCAAAACGCTGAGAACTTTCCGGACAACCTAATACATTACCCCTTTATACCAGTTTTCAGCGGATTTGGTGATCTAGGCTTGCAAATGAGCTCGCAGCTAAAAGTAAGCGCGTCCAAACGGCATCAGCCTGTGAAGTATGAAGGCAGCCTTACGTCGCGCCACAAACGCAATGACACCGTTATTTGAAAAAAAGAGCTAAGTGGAAGTAACGAACATGATTCTGAAAGCACTCACATTTACTAGACCATAATAGTGTTCGTTCCCTGAATGGGGTTCCCCGTTGATCTCACGCTCCAGTTGTGAGGATGAGTTGGCA